GGCAGGAGGATTGTTGCAAGTTCAATACCAGCCTGGGCTACAAAGTGAGTTCAGGGCTAACCTGAACTGTGTAGTGAGACCCTGTCTCAAAAAGACCAAGAGAAAGAAAGAAAGAAAGAAGAAAGAAAGAAAGAAAGAAAGAAAGAAAGAAAGAAAGAAAGAAAGAAAGAAAGAAAGAAAGAAAGAAAGAAGAAAGAAAGAAAGAGGAAGGAAGGAAGGTAGGAAGGAAGGAAAGAAAGGGAGAGAGAGAGAGAGGAGGAGAGGACAGAGAAAGGAAGAAAGGAAGCAGCAAACAAGCAGACGTACTGAGCTGCCATGCCATGCCAGCCTCGGGAGCGTTATAGGAGGAAAGATCTGTAGGTCCTTGTAGTTTGTGGACCACAAGTTCTGCAAAACCGTTGCTCAAGTTTGAAGGGAGGCAGCGCCAAGGCCGGTGGATGGAAGTGACGCTCTGCTCTGACACAGGCGCTGCGTGTATCCACCCAGCCTCATCCAGGCCCACAAGACACACCTGTGGGTTCGCTCGCTCTCTCTCAGCATCTCAGCCCATGTTCTTATTTTTTATTTGAGACAGGGTCTTGTTAAGTCGCTAAGTTTTCCAGGCTGGGCTTGAATTTGCGATCCTCCTGCCTCAGCCTCCCAGAGTGCTGGGATCACAGGTGTGCGCCACCACGCTGGGCTGTCATCCTCATTTTTGATGACATCGGAATGACTAATCCAGCCTTCTGTCACTCCTGGAGAGTCTTGTCGTGGGTCACAAACTTCTGCCCAGCTTTCCAGATACAGCTCCTGAACATCCCTCCCCTCTCTGCCCAGCGCGCCACGCCCATCAGCTCCTTGAGGAAGGTAGAAACCTCGAGTGAATGTAAACTCTTCCAGGCTCCAGTGAGGGCGCCGCGTCATTCTAGCAGCCCAGCAGTCATCCTGTGGCAGGCCTGGGGTGACACGCCATCTGTCCGTGTGGCCATCCCCGGAGTGCTCCCTGGTTGGCCCCCTTGCTTCTTCTCTCCACCGGACATCCAGGCGTGGACGGCACCCCGCTGCCCCAGCAGCGCCCCCTCATCTCAAGCCAGAGCTGCAGAGCCATTGGCTCCCTGGCTGGAGTCCTTGGCCCAGGCCCTGGCTCTGTGGGGTGAAGCGAGGGCTCTAGGAGGGGCTGGGACCACAATGGGCGTGGGCTCCTCAAGGGACGCTGACCCGAGCCTGGGACAAACCCAACCTGGCCCTGCCGCCTCCATTCTGTGACAGGGGGTGCAGGGCCACTCGGATCCCTGCTGTCCCGACAGGGGCTTCAGAGAGTGTCGCAGAGTCACCTTGAAGCAAGTCGCTCATACCCTTCTCAAGTGGAAAGGGAGGGACTTTGTAACTTCTGGGTTGAGGTGAAACCTGCCTGCCTTCCTTCCTTTTTTTCTCCAGCTCTGGAGGGGGGACCCAGGACCTCTGCACTGAGCTGTGTCCCCAACCCTTTTTATTTTTATTTTGAGACAGAATCTCCTTAAGTCACAGAGTTGCAGAGGCTGAGCTCGAACTTGGTGATCCTCCTGCCTCAGCCTCCCACAGTGCTGGGGTGATGAGCCTGTGCCACCATGCCCGGCTCTTCATGTCCTGCACAGGATCAGCACCTCCTCTGTGGCACAGTCCTGGGCTCCCGCAGCACCAAAAAGTGAAACCCTACCTCATGGGGGCTGCGGGTCTCGGGGAGACGCCTGGGGTCACCTCTCCTGCGTGTGGCCTCGGTCACGCCTTCCCGCCCGGCCTCCCTGCTTCGGGCCCTGCTCTCTGCACGGCGAGGGCGCTGACAGCGCTGTGGCCCCTTGCAGGTGGCAAACATCCTGCTCAACGGCGTGAAGTACGAGAGCAAGCTGACGGGCTCCAGCGAGCAGTCGGAGCAGCCGCTGTCCCTGCGCCGCCTCTGCGCCACCATCTGCCGCATGCCCAAGGCCCTGCGCAACCTGTGCGTCAACCACTTCCTGGGTGAGCTGGGGTCGGCGGCGCGGGATGGGCGCAGCGCCTGGCTTCGGGGGGCTCCCTACTTCCTCACCCCCGACACCTGGCCGATGGCCGTCCCGCGCGGTCCCCGGGTGACGGCACGCAGCTTCCCCAGGGCTGGGGGCACCCGGGTCCCCACAGAGCCGAAGCCCCCCCCCAGCTCTTGGAGGCTCCCGGGGGCAGCGGCCCCTGCCTGCAGCCGCACCCCGCTCTGTGGAGCCCAGGTGTGAGCGTGGTCATCTTCGGCTCCTACGTCCGTGGGGCCCTGAACTCAGGGGGCCCCAGGCCCAGCTTGCCTTCCGCTCCCTCCGCGCCCCTGCCCTGCCGGCGCTGGGAGTTGCGGTGACCGAGGGCGGTCACACGTGTGGGGCGCGGGTGCACACGGCCGCGAGGAGGCGGTGGGGAGGTGGACCGGCCCCTGCTCTTGCGGCCTGGGGCCCGGCCTCTGCCATCCGAGCCGCTGGGCCCCGGGCCGGGAAGTCAGTGCAGCGCCAGCCGCACTGCGGAGCCCTCACTGCACCGCGCTGAGCCCGTTTAGTCCCTTTCGGTGGCCAGGAAGTTGTGCACCGTCACCTCTTGGGGTTCAGGGGGTGCTGTCTCACCCCTCCCTCCAGCGGAAGTGCTCGGTACTCAGAGAAACGCCGGGAAGCTTTGGAGATGGAAGTGGGGAAGGGCAGCCCCACCGCGCGCAGAGCACCCCCATTCCTTCCCCTCCCCCTCC